GTTTTTCCTGCATGGATCTAGTTTTTCTTCTTTTTTCTTTGCCATGGTGAGATCAGAGTGATGGTGGATCAGAGCCCAGCTTGGGTTAGAGCTGCAAAAGGGATTTTAGGTGCTCGCAGAGTGAAATCTGCAGCGATGGTGAGATGCCCTTCCATAGCAGTGTCCGTCTGTGCTCTGCTGTCATGTCATGGATCTGATCTTCCTGTGGAAATGAGAAGATCAAGTCACTAAGCTCTCCACAGTTACTCTAGAAATGTCATACTCTTACTGACAGAAAATAAATTTTATCCTCAGGTAAAAGATTTTTGTTTTAATGGGGCTGTATTAAATAATTTCTCAAATGACGAGTCACACATTAGCTCAGTATGATGGAGAAGAGGACAAGTTCGCTTTAATTTTCACTCCTGTCATGCTTATATTTTAGGCAAGACAGATATATGAAATTATAATTACTTAAACATAAAGGTGGTTTTATTCTTTGTTTCAATATACACCATCTAATCCTGTAGTCTGAGCAATACTCTTACACCTACTCTACATGATACTCTTACCCTACGTTAAAACTTCTTCTGAAATTTGACTGAAGTGGCAACGTGTTTGACTGAACCAAACTGGTGTGTTTGCCTGGTTGTGCTTCATTTTTACCACTGGTTCCTCTAGTGCTGACACAGGTCAGTTTGACTTTTTGCACAGTACTTATGTAAGGAGTCGGTATAAAAAAAAATGCGTTTATGAAATTTGATCTCTACATCTTGTATTTGCTGCCCAAAACTATTAATTGGTGCCCAGAGAGAATGAAGAGCACAAAGCACTTCCTAGATTTGGGGAAAAAGCATAGATCTGGGAGGAATGTTTTGAAAAATTTTTAAGAGTATTGTTGCTCTAAATTTTTTTTTACTTAATGATTTTTATCTTAAGCATGCTCAAAGAAAGTAGCATTTTATGAAAAATCGAATACTTTTTACTATGAAAGGTTATTTTATTTTTTTGGTATGGCAATAAGTTATATATCACAGTATGTCCCAGTTTTTACTCGGAGATGAAAGAATAAGATGCAGTAGCCAAACATGACGAGAAGCTTTCTCTTTTTTTTTTTTTCTTTTTCTCCTTCCATGTTACTTTTTTGCACTTTTGTCAAAGATTAGTACATGTTTAGTAGAAAATACACAAAGGAAAATAGGATTTTTAACCCAAAAAAATGGCAGCCAGACTAAAGGCCAAGTGAACTGTTTAATTTTTTTTAATGCTATTTAAGAGATTTATATTTTCAGTATTCATTTCATGAGGAAGTCCTATGTCCTTTGGCATTATGTATATGTAATTCTTGCTGAACTATGGCACCAAGATGCTGTATTTTTCCAGCTTGATAGTTAACAGTTATCCTGGTCACTGAGCAGAGACATTCCTTTGGGATGCCATTTCTTTTCACAGCTTTCTGACTCTTTCCAGCCCTTCTCCTTAGGGTCACAGAGATGTTATATAAATGCAAAGATATTTAGGGAGGAGTTTATCTGTTAAAATGTAGTGTTGAACACAACTTTCATTTTAGGTCAGACCCTTCCCAGTGCTGTGGGATCAAGGAGGACTTTGCAGTTCTTTGTCGAAAGCAAAAACTTATACCTTTCTGACATTTAAATAACAAAACAAACAAACAGAAAACCAAACAGAAAAATCTTAACATAAAAAATGCTTTCCACGAAATTTGAGAGTTGAGAACCGTGATACACAGGTGCAGTACTGGAAATATCACTTTGATGTGTTGTGTAAGCAATCATGACATAAAAAGTTCTTTTTCTCTCAAAAGTGATGTGAAGGGATGCGAGTGCCAATTTTTGAAATTTGAAAACTAACACCTGGAGATAGTTATATTTTTAAATGTTTTCAGGATGAGTCAATGACAAATGGGAACTATATTAGATTGGCAAGATTAGTAGAATTTATTATTATAATATGCTTAGCATAATAAGCATGGTGGTCTTAATTATTCCGTTTGTGTAGTAATTTTTCCATTAAAAGACTATGTCAATCTGTCAGTAAATATATTCATTAGATGAAGTATGCCATGCTTAACACATATCTGGTTTCAAAAATAATATTAGTTTTCTGTAATTTAAACATGAGGGATTGGTGCTCTTCGCGTGGTTTACAAAAGAGAACTTCAGATTTCACTTAAAAACGTGAATATTGTAGAACAACTGAAACATTATACATAAACAAATATATAACCAGTCCTACCTCAACTTGGGCATAGGTCAACCAAAAATCAGGTCTAGGCAGGTTATGAAAAATGAGCTGAACATTCTTCTTGTTTTGTTGATGGGCTACACAAGTCATGGTTATGCACAGAAGGGGTAAGTGAAGAATTCACAGCCTTACAATGCTACAATATCTCTTTCAGAAATTGATCCCAGAATTATAGAAAAAGTTCATTTGGTTTTTTTTTTCTGTGGATGTGTCTCTCTGTATGGGAAATCTCTCTGGCAGGTACACTCTTACATTGGTGTGTGATCAACTGTTAGGCTTTGTTCTCGTAGGTAATTTTTTTTATCATTGCCATTTTAAAACACTTTCTGTTTATGTTAAACTCACTTGTTTGAGCCTGGTGCTATGAAATATTTATGCAAATAGCACTCAGTAAGATCTCAGTTTGGTGCCAGAACAGTGCCAGTTAAAGTTGCCAGAAGAGAAGTGTTCCTATCATTCAGATTAATAGCTGAGATTACTGTTTTGTCTAGTTTATTCCCCATGATTGTATGCAAGGAGGTTTTCAGTCTTATTCTAGTCCCTTTTTCTTTTCTTCTGCCAGGATTTTTCAAGGAAGTAACACCCTCTCTTCCTTCAAAAAGCAAAAGTCATCATAACAAACTCCCAGAGATTGCATTAGTCATCCACTGGCTTATTAGAGATTATTTGTAACTGTGATAAGCACTTGGATTTTGAATTTTCTAAATATACAGAAGGTGGAAGAGTATTGAGCAATTTTTCTCATTATCTCACAGAGTAATCTCTCAGGGTGTAGCATCGCTGAACTAATGGCCCTCAAATAGTAACTTATCAGAGCTGCTCAGGGATTCTTGCCATTGCTATAAAAAGCCATTTGGCAATAAGCAGTGTGTCATATTAGAAGCACAGGCATTTACTAGAACATGAATATGCTAAAATACTTCATTTACAGACTCCTCAGTGGCAACTGGTTCTAAAAAACCTAAGTGGATGATTTTGAACATCACAAATAACTACTCGTTCTAAATACTACATTTTTAAGGCAATTGTTCCTTGAAATGGATGATGTTACTGCATTTGTTGGGTGTTTTTGTTAGCTGTTTGTTGGGCAACATTACAAAATGTTACCCCATTTTGTTGGGTGCCCGACCTCTCCACTTTTTGGTAAATACTCATTCAGCAGTTATGACTGTTTTGCTGAAGGTTCGTTAAGTGGTTTTGCCCCCATCTTGCAGTTAAACAGAGAAACACATAGGAGTTGGTTCAGTCTCAGAGATCGTTTATTCACTGGAGTCAAGGCTCTATGTGCTCTCTTTTCTTTTTCCTGAGCTAATGAACATATTTCAAATGTTACTTGCCCACATCTGTAAAAAACTGGCAGGTGAGGTGTCAGACTCGTGTCTTCCTCTTGCACTGCTGGAGTGGCTCGACTTTTCCCCTCTGGTTCTTGCTTGCCTGATGACTTTGGTGCAGAGTTGGTGCTGTCTTGTTTGGTGGCTTCCAGCTACCAGTGGAGTCCTGGTTGGTCGTCATCCGAGTGACATGTCCTTGCTGTATATAAGACTGGGGAGAAATGGGTCATATACAGCAGAACACAGATATACTGATTTACATTTCCCAGAACGTTACAGACTTCTGCACAGGTTGCTCTGGACTTGGCTTTCACTCTTGGCTGTAGTTGTAACTTCATGAGTAGCCTGCTGCTTTCACAGTTCACACAAGTCAAAACCTGTAAGCTGATCCTGGGATTGATCGGTGGTGGATTTAGGCACCTTTAGTAGTACTTGGCTGAGAAAGAGATGTTACTGCTGCCTTTCCACTCCTCTGATAGACCTCCTTCTTGTTTCTCTTAGATCTGTGGTTTGCATATACTTGATTGCCAGATGTGTCTCTTAAGCAGGTGTTGATTACAGAGATCATCGAGGAATCAAAGGTGTCCAAGTATCAGCAAACAGTCAATTAACATGTCCGTGTGTAGGCAGAGCTGGGTGCTCCCTGAAGCTGCCAGGTGTTTTGAGAATTCATTGTTCTAAAGAACTGCCTTTATAATATACACTATTTTAGCTGAAATTGTGCTGGTAATATATAAATGCTCATGATTTGGTGTTAATTAAATAGCACATTCAGTGATGGAATATGACCATTCAAATGCTCAGATTATTGGTTTTGTAGAAGAATATCTGTTGCTGCTTTTCATGTTGTTGCTAAATAGAAACAACAAGAGGGAAAAAACCCAACCAAATAAAAAACCCACAATACCCCAAAAAACAATAGTTGACCTGCTGTTCTCAGGAATGTTCCATACCGAAGGTCTAGTAGACCATGCCAAAGGGTTGTCATGAAGTAAAAGTGAAAATGTTGGATCTAAGATAATTTTGACCATTAGTAGACATACTTACAAATTATTCTTAACCTTTGAGGAAATACTATACATAAACTTGCTGGGCCTGAGGATAGGGGTCTCTTGGCTTTGTGTGTCTGAGGTCCTGGGCTGATTCTCACTTGCTTTGTCTTCAAGATCAAGAGAGAGCTAAGCTTTAGTGCCTGAGGAATGTAGCTCCCAGAGTTTGAAGAGACTCCCATAACCCGCTGGAGACCAGCATTGAGTGGAACCTCATGGATTACAGTGAGGGCTCGAATCCTCTATGCTCTGTGTGTGGCACGAGACCTCCCAAGCCAGTAAAGCAAAAATGTTAATGTAACAAATGACAACATGAGGTATTTAAAAATTGTTTCTGTATGGGAGCTTAAACCCTGTTTTTTTCACTCCTTTTCAGAAAGAAGACACAGCTCCTCCAGCAAGCCGCCTTTGACTCCTCCCTCCTCTTCAGTATTTTCCCTCATTTCATCTTTCCCTTCAAAAAGCAAAGGTAGCAGTGGAACTGGGAGCAATCGTTCATCCAGTGGAGGTACTAGTGCACCATCATCAAATTCCAAGTTGTTGAAATCACCCAAAGACAAGCTGCAGATCAGCGGAAACAACAGGTTAATGCATTCGGTACAGCACAGCAAAGTCCCCCATGATAAAATGTGAGTATGCATTTTGACAAAAATTAAATATTACTACTTGCATAGGCACTGCTCTATCAGTAGAGAGTGCCATTTTTTCAGAGGGGTTTTGGTTTAAGAGATTATCACTTCAGACTCCTCCAGATCTTTTCCAGCAACCTGGAGTAGTCAAAAATTATAGCTCATACCCATGATTATGTTGAATAAGAACTCTTGCAAAGCTGCATCTTAAATCACCATGAATGAAGGTCATTTCAGTAGGGGCTCTTAATTCTTTGATCTAATCTGCATACTTTGATCATAAGGGAGTTTTAGCTCTGATTCAGGTGATTTTTTTGACCTGCATGTGTGAGATCACAGCACTGCTGATACAATTTACTGTCACAGAACAGGGCATTTCTCACTGGACATAAGGGGTCCATTCCAGTTGCTTTGGTGATACTCTGTCTTATGAATCCAGATAATGGTTTCTGAAGTCCCTGAAGACACCCTGAAATACTTACAGGGAAGTGGGGGAACAGAGGGCAGAAAACATTATGGACATCATAAAAAATAGGAAAATAAAAAAGATAGTAAGAGAATGAGGCGTAAAGGAGGAAGGTCTACATTTGTGTTGGGATTAGATGAGAGTATTGTTGAGCAATAACATATTTTAACTACTCTTTTTCAATTTGCTTCCCTTTGTTTTTCATAAATAGTATGACTCCATCTGTCAAAGTGGAAAAGATTCATCCAAAGATAGATGGTGCCCAACTGAAAGCTGCTGTTGGTCCAACTTGTTCTACTACTGTGAGTTCCTCAATAAAGACTGGCCTTAATTGTCCCTCAATACCAAAGCCACCCTTGCCTTCCCCTGGACAGATACTGAATGGTAAAGGTCTTCTCTCTGTGCCTCCATTTTTGGAAAAGAAACCTGAAGAAAATACAAATAATAGGAAATTTTTACATAAAAGATTGTCAGGTAATTGTTTTTAATTATTATTTGCTGTATTCCTCTTAATAGTGTATCTATAGAAATACATATAGAAATAAGTTTCAGGAGCAAATTAAACACTTTTCTAATACTTTACCTTGTAGTAAGGTTTTTTTTTTTATATTACAATTTACATCTGTCATGTGACATACACTTAAAAATACAAACACCTTGAAATATGACTTTTGCTTTCAGAAACTGTACAGATATTAAAGCCTGTCAGTTCCAACAGTTTTAAAATTTTTAAAGATTTTTGTTTCCTTCTTTCTATATGGAAGGTCCAAATGTATATAGAAAATAGAACAACCAGCACCTTGTAAACTCAAAAATGGAAACCCGTCTGCTCTTTACACTTTTTAGACACAATTACTTTGAGTATTAGTAGAATGACAGAAAAGTTCTTGACACCAAAACCAGCAACTAAAAAACCACTATTTTTTTGTCACAATCCATAATGATGGTGACTTCTCCTAACAGGCAGAATCGACTCCTCCTTTGGGGTCACTTACAGGTGTAAATGTCTCCATTCTCTTTGTGGCCTGGAGATCTGTATTTCAGCACACCGTAAATATGCTGAGAGTGTAGAAAATTTAATTTGTACAGTTTTATTGTGCATTTTTATTTGTACGTTTGCCTGTGTTTTATTTGAAAAGTTTCCAATATGGTTAATTTTTATAATGAAACTAAATGTTGTTAGTATTTCTAAATGTCTTTTGATAACTTTTCAATATTGTGTATCTCTGACAGAGAGAGAATTTGATCCTGATATATACTGTGGTGTCATTGATGTGGAAACCAGGAAACCTTGTACTAGGTCTTTAACATGCAAGGTAGGATATCTGAATAAGATTATCTGCAGTTTTAATTCAAATTCCTGAGGAATATGATAGAAAATGGAAAGCTACAAATTTCTGCTGTCAGTAATTACCACTTTAAATGGTGCCTCTCAAAACATGTTGTCCAGAACCAAGAAGGAATTGTTTTTGAAGTTCAGTTAATTATTTATTCAAAAACATGTTTTCTTAAAGTAACCTGGGGAATTGTATTTTTGTATAAACCCTTTAAATGTGGATGCTGCCATGGGACACTCTATGTTACTCCACATGTGGGCAGCAGGGGACCAGCATGTTCCTCTGTTTGGGGGTAACCTTTGGCTTGTAGGCCATGAATTTGAAAATTCCTCATATGCATTGAAAATATTATTGTCTGTGCAGGATTTAAATAATTCAAGCTCTTCCCCTCTCACAGCCCCTCCTTTCCCCCCAGCAGAGTCTGCAGCAGGTACTTGGGAGGTATTTGTGTAGATGTTAATGCTGCTGGATGTACAGCTGCAGCCAGCTCGGAAATGAGGCTCCTGCAAAAGCCACGGAGCATTGCCTAGAGGTCAAACTCTGAATTAAACAACCCATAAAAACTTTCAGTCAGACCAAATGCCTCCTCTGGCTCCAAAATCTTGTGGGACAGAGGGGTGTCACTTGGTCCCTAGGAAGCAAAAATCCAGATTCCCTGCAATTGTGCAATATTTTGCTGCTTTCCTGCAAAGCAGCTTAACCTGTCAGTTTGGGAAGCATCTGGTAAATAAACCACCTACAGAACAAAGGTAAATGAAGCTGGCACTAATGACCCAGAGGAACTGAACTTGAACACATTGCCCTTTTGGAATTACGGAGGGGAGGAAATTGTTTTGCTAATGGAAGAGGGAAAAGCTGGAAGATTTTAGCAGAGAAATATGCAAATCAAAAGTGAAAAAGAAAAAGAAAGTAAAAACATTTCTTAGCAATTACTTATACCTACTGATAAAATATTTTTGAAATTGCTATTTGTGTCCGAATTATGTGATAATTTTTACCTACTAAAATGAACCAAATCAAAGCCTTGGTGCCATATTAAAAAAGGTATTGTGTGTGACTTTTAACAATTCAGAAAAATAACTTTCATCTATTTCACCTTACTTGGAATTTGGGCCATTTATGCACATACAGATCTTACTGTGTGTAACGTTCAGGACACTCAAAGAACTTTGAGTCCTCTCTGACTCTGGATTCTGCTGGATGTTTTGCATTCCTTAATATCTATTTGATTATGTTAGTTTTCAAGGAATATGTTAGTATATAGTAGGCAGCAAAGTATTTTTATAAATATTTTTCAGGTCTCCCATTAGAAGTCTTATTTTAAACGCTGTTGTGTTGATTATTTTCATAAGTGCAAGTAAATATTATCTCTTTTTAGTTTTGCAGGAGCTGGCAATTGAGATATCAATGTAAAAAAAAGATTTTCAGTTCTAGTCTTAACCTTATAAAAAACTTGGCAGTTCACGTTTTAAAAAGAAATTTGAAAGAAGCCTTTTACTGAATTGCTGGTTTTGTTGCTTTGTATCAGACAGGGGTATAACAATCCCCCAAGCCATTATAAGTTTGTTTTCTAAGTCGTATTTCCGTTTGTTTACTAAACCAGGAGTGTGATGATTTTCTCTGTTTTAGAGCTGTAGACACGTGTTTTGAGTGTTTGACTTCCACAAATGCAATAGCCTGGGATTAATGATTTATTCATGGTTCTGCAGACACATTCCTTAACCCAGCGGAGGGCTGTACAGGGTCGAAGAAAACGATTTGATGTGTTATTAGCTGAGCACAAAAGCAAAACCAGGGAAAAGGAACTTCTTCGACATTCGGATCATCATCAGCAGATGCCCCCTCTCAGGGAACCACATCCCTCACCTACTAAAACTTCCCAGGAGCTGCACCAAAATTCTCATGGAGTTACTCTTACAGAATCAAAGCCTTTATTACCTAATAAACCCAAACCTCACCCCCCCAGTCTTCCAAGGTAAGGAAAATCTGCAGATCCAGTGGTATGAAATTAATACTGGGAGCTTTTGAGGGCGCGATAGGGATCTGTTGGACGGGGCAGCGTGTTTGCTCTAGGCCTGATGACTGTGTGCAATTAGCAATTACCTGCTGAGTGTAACTCTGGGTGAGGAGGGTTTGATGTTTGAAGCAGTAAAAGCTGACTTGCATCAATAACAGCAGGTCAGCAATAACTGGGCAATGCTGCTTTTCCAGGGGTACCACCATACCCCACGTCCTTCCGCTCAGTGGGTGTGTTCCGAGACTATGGACAACACCAGGAACCTGTTAATGTAGATTTCCTTCTATCAGTCATACTAAGCACTTAAAGGGTGGAATTTTTGACTAGACTTGGTTCAATAACACCTGGTTACTGCTTGCCTTGCCCAGGCCTCCAGGCTGTCCAGCCCAGCACAGTGGAAATGCCCCCAGTGAGTCTCCTTCTGTCCACGAGTCCCCTCACCCTCCCTTGCCTGCAGCTGAGCCAGCATCTCGGTTATCCAGTGATGAGGGAGAATGTGATGAAAAAGAAGAGCCTGTTGAAAAACTGGATTGTCATTATTCAGGTCATCATCCTCAACCAGCCGCTGTACGTTTTAAAAGTTAACTTTGGTCTCTCCCTGGCTCTAAACTTGTAAACAAATTACTTGGGGGTTTTAAGGGTGGTTTTCTATGGAGTATGTGATTTTTTTATTTTTTTTTCTGTATTTTGAGAAAATTTTGTGGCTTAGTAGGCGGTGAAGGTTTAACTAGTTGCAAAATAAACATACTAAAAAAAAATGTGTTCATAGCTCACTTCACCAATCCAAAAGAAACTAAAATGCCAAAATACTAAAGATGAAATTGGTAACTGCTCCAAAGGACTGTGGGTTTGGAATAAGGACATGTAAACAGTGTCTTTTTGGTGAGATTTTGTTATTGGACTTCCCCTCCACACCCACACACATCTTTTACTCAAGGTATCAACATCACATTAAAGGTAGCAGTAATGTATTTTATATTTAAATCTTGACAAAAGCTAGTTAGTCAAACTAAAAGCAAATTTATTGCCTAGACTGTATGTCAAATTATCTCCTTTTTTAAAAAAAAAACAGACTACAAGCAGATAGCTGGTAGCTCCATAGAAGTAGATGTTACATATATATTTTTATAATTTTTTTATACGTACACTCAACACACACCTCCTGTATTTCTGTTTAATCAAAGGGATTAAAATTTGACTTTTGCTTTTAGTCCTAAATATGGGAGTATCAGATAGGAAGAAAAATATACCAATATACCAAGGCTAAAAGTAGTTGTTATGCCATAGAAATAAAAATTCTAATTTATATTTTTTATCCTTTATTTAAACATTAAAAAGCATATTATTTAGTAATATCTGTTTATAAACAAGTGCTTTGTTTTTTAGAGAGTTGTTACTGGAAGTAGAAAACGCCAATAAAAATCTGTCTTTTCAGTTTTGCACATTTGGTAGTCAGCAAATTGGAAGAGGTTATTACGTGTTTGACAAGCGGTGGAACCATATTCGATGTGCACTTGACTTCATGTTGGAGAAGCATCTTAATTCACAAATGTGGAAGTGAGTAGGAGCGAAAGAGTTCTTGTTCTTCTTGGTATTTGTAAAAGTACATGGAACCTGTGATTCTAGTTAACAGTAATCTTGTGTTCTGGTTAATCAGAATGAAGGTTGATGGTCTGTGCTTTGTTTTTTGCAACAATTAACTGCCAATTTAATGCAACGTTTCAGTGGCATTAATCAGCCTCAAGAAACAATCATTCCAATGTAGCATTGTTAGACTGGGCACTGGTCTGAAGAATGGTGGCTACGTGGGGTTTTATTTGTGTCTTTCTGTTCACCTGCAGGAAAATTCCTCCAGCACCCAGTACCACAGCATCAGTCCGTGCTCCACATCGGACAAACTCGATGCCTGCTTCCCAGCACGGTGTCAGTGCAGCAGGTTTCCTCTTACCCACCACGGTTATGTCATCGCCAGCGTTGGTATCTCCTTCCTGTGTGTCTCTGAATAACAAATCGGTACCATCCCACGGAACGACACTAAATGCCAATCCTGCTGCTTTGGGGGCAGTGGATCCTGTCTGCAGTATGCAATCGAGACAAGTGTCTTCATCCCCTTCAACACCTACAGTGCTTTCCTCTGTACCTTCACCTATGCCCAGCAAACCTCAGAAAATGAAATCCAGCAAATCTTTTAAACCTAAGGAATCTTCGGCTGGCAGTGGCACCTGTAACAGCACCGGCAGCGTCAGTAGCAGCGGCGGCTCAGGAAAGAAGCGTAAAAACAGTTCCGCACTGCTCGCACCTTCTCATTCCACAGAGTCCTTCAGAAAAAACTGTGTGGTGAACTCTGGAAACTCTGGGACCTCCTATCATCCGTCGGTGACAGCTTCATCCCACAGTGTTGGCCTCAACTGTATGACTAGCAAAGCTAACTCTGTTAGCCTCAAACATGACCAATCAGGGAGGGGTCCTCCGACCGGGAGCCCTGCAGAATCCATAAAGAGAATGAGTGTGATGATGAACAGCAGCGACTCCACGCTCTCCTTAGGGCCCTTTGTTCATCAGTCCAGTGAGCTGACTGTAAATTCACACAGCAGTTTTTCACATTCACATTCTTCCCTTGACAAATTAATAGGAAAGAAAAGAAAGTGCTCACCTGGTTCAAGCAGCATCAACAGCAGCAGCAGCAAATCAAACAAAGTTGCCAAATTGACATCGGTGAACAATGTTCATGCAAAACACACTGGTGCAATCCCAGGGACGCAAGGACTGATGAACAATTCTCTTTTTCATCAGGTAGGAAATTTTGCCTCAAACTAAGCCAGCATGAACAATCATATGGTTATTCATGTGCTTATATTACATGTGTTCTCTTAATTATTAGGTGGCCAATTCCAGATCCTGTTCAAGTGAAAGATACTTCTCATATTTGTCCACTCCTCATTTTGAGTGTTTTTATAGTACATTCACATAAGTTTTTATAAACACTGTAAAAAAAAACTACACTTCATGAAAATAATCTTAAATGTGGTGTTTCAAGTTCCTTATATGTTGCCTGTGAATTGCTTTCAGATGAAATTCATTTATTTTAAAAATATAGTTTTAAAAAGTCTTTCCAGCCTGCCATGGAACTGAGCTGTGTGCCTCGACCTGACTCCTTGTTTTCTGTATCAGGAATAAACATTCTACAAAGTGGAACATAATGATGCTGATAACAGAACTCTGATACTGTGATAAAATAAGCCTATTATCCCAAGGTGTCATTGACTAACTTCTTAGTAATAACGAGATTAAATGTTATAAATAAGATAGAAACCTTTTTAGTTGGTAAAGTGAACAGATATGCTATGAAGGAAATGGATCTCATGAATTTGTAAGATCTCATTTTAAAAATTAGTTAGGTGTTTTATTGTTTTTAAACAAATCTCAATGGAAAAGTAGTGTCTGCAGGATTGAAAACTCAAGAAACTTTGTTTCCTCTGCTGCTAAAACCCTGAAATCTGTGTACCTGCAGAGCCAAGAGGTCAGTAAGAGCTTTTTTCAGAGTGGTTTCTTTATTTTCAGTTTCAGCCACAGAGGAAGATTTTCACTGTTGTGTTTACTGTGACAAAAAAAAAGCATTCAGATGGTGGAATTTATTTTTGCACTTATCTAATAATTACTATCTCAACTATGCAATATAAATAAAGGAGAAATATACTTTGAGTGATTTAAGGAAGGACATTGTGCCTGAAACCACTGTAACTTCTTAAGAGCTTTAGTTGAGAATTGTCGAGTCTTGGAGAAGCCAACCACATGTTGGCAGTGTCACACTGTGCCTGAGATTCTCCCCAGAATATACTCCCTTTATCCCAGAAATGTGTTTTCAGAGCTTCTGCTCCTGCAGCCTGGCCCACTCATCCTTCTCTCTCTTTTCTTGCTCCCAAGCCAAAGGCCCGTCCCTGATAGCTGAAGGCACCACGGTGAGAAACGAACTGGACAGTTTTCACTACAAGCAAAACCTCCATCTGGATTTCTGGACTCCAAGATGCCTTGAGTTTTCCCAACTTCCCATGGTCCTCAGGTGTGGAAATCTACTGGACTGTCACTTAAACAAGGAATTTCCCTGAAGCCATGTCTGTAGCAACGAATATACTAGAAATGGACACTGGATGAAGTTCAGCCACATAATTGCTCTTATCAGTGTTAACAGTGGTCTGGACTGTTTGCTACAAATCTGTGAGATTTTCCTTACAGGAGTACATCATCTTGCCACTATTTGACATAGTTTGGCTGGGCAAACGAATGTTTTCTGGGGGGAAATAAACGTTACTGTGGACTTATTTTTATACTGATGGTGTCTTTTGTAGGTGATAGCTAACCAGACAGACACCCTCAATGGAGAGGACCCCGCGACAAGGGGAAAAATGTGTGAGGCACAATGGAAAGAAGCCCTCAAGAAGGGAATATGGCTTTAGTGTTTTTATAGCAATGTTCCTTTAATGGAATATAAAAAAAAAAATAGCACAATTCAAAAACTAGTCTGTTTTGCCCAGCCTTTTGCAGGTAATTTGGGATAAGAAGCTATCAGGAGTTTAAAACAAAACAAACCTGACAAAACCGGAAAAAACTTGTTTGAGGCCATCGCTCAGAAAACAAGTATAAAAATATCGTATTTGTGTGATACAAAACCTATTTTCTATTCTTTTGAATAAGATTTGATTGTGGAAGAAAAAGTAATTTTGTTCTTTAAAAATTCCAAAAACATCGAACAGACAAAGGCAAATAACCTCTAAAACTCTATGCCCAAAGAATATATTTATTGACCTATACTGTATACCATAGGCCTTTGTTATTTAAAAAAGATAACTTATTGGTGAAATTAGGCTGGATTTGTCTTTCAGCTGATGAAATTTGCCCTTTTAAAACTAAGTTTTTAAAGTATTTAAATATTTTCTAAAAACCATAAAAGTCAGTTTCTTTCTGCCTTGTTTGTGTAACTAAATTGTTAATGTGAGACACCTTCCACCACTCAGATTTTTTTGGTCAAAATTCTGGAATAAACACCCAATTTGACAATAGAGTTCCCTGTGAAGCACAGGTTTGTGCATCACAGTCATCCCACGCCCACCAGGCTTTATGACTACAGGGGGCTTTACACAGTTTTATATAGTCCAGCCAGTTTTTATGAAATATTTTGTCTTGCTTCAAAACACCTCAAAAGTGAATTCTGCTAAAGGGCTCATTGTATTATGGTTTGACCCGTCTGGATGTTTTTGTTAAGTTTTTAAACATCAGGTAAAGGCTCAAAACTGACTAAAGTTTTATTAAGGGGGCAAAGCAAAGGAAAATTAATTCCTAACCAAGGAGAATTTTTTTTCTGCCTTAAAGGGGCACCAGCTATTGCTGAGAAGAGACAATCTGAGCCTGTCCAATTGTTCAAGTAGCCCAGCCTTCTCCCCATTCTGGTGGCAAGTAGTAAGTACATCAGGGAATCCAAAGCCACTCTGAGTAGCAGTTGCTTAGTTGTTTACCTAACAATGCTTTCAGTTTCACCTGAACTTCCTACAAAATCATTGTTATACAGCAAAACAACAAGAAGCCTCTATGCAGACACTTTAGCTTTGAATTGATACAAAAGATCACACTGAGAAAGCAATGTACTAGAGACTCTTATTATGCAAACTTTTAAAAAAAAATAGTAGACAACTTTTCAGGAACAAAAGGATTTATATTTAATAGGATGCCCTGTTGAAAGGATTGTTAGAACTGCAATTGGTTTAAGGTAAAAGGAACCAAAGTGATGTGCCACAAAGAGAAATCAAAGCGTATTAAATCCTGCACATTTGGAGTGAAATCCGCGCTCTGATGAAGTCCCTGGGGCAGAGCTTCCACTTCAGGATAGCGCCAGTCACAAGTGCAATTTGACTCTTGGTATAGACACAAAGGTAAAGGAAACAAAAATTCGGCAAGATTGGACGGTAGCGACTTTGTGATCGAACTCTCCTGGTTTTTCAAGGTTCTGTTGATCTGAAAGCAAAATGGCAAATTCGGGCTCCTTCGGTAGCAGGCAGACGTGACAAGAGTGAATTCCTGTACAGAGCCAGTGTCTGCAGCCACCTGTGTCATGTGGGTTTGAGCCATTGGGAGCAAAGAGTTAGAACATAAATACTGTCTGCCCTTACAGACCTGCGTAAATATTATGTTTTAGATCTTGATTATAAGCAGAACATTGTTCCTGAAGCTTTTATTGTCACATAGTTCTTACTGTAAATAATTAAGGAAGCTTAAAATTAATTTTCCTTGCAAAAATTGAATTTGCAGTGGCTGGGTTGTTTCTAGACAGATTTTGGTATTAATTTAAGAGATACAGTTTTTATAGTCTTTCCAACTTCTCGTTATGACTCCTGCAGTTTTCTTAACCTAAAAAATTGCTGCAATGATGAACAAAGAATTATACAAGAAAAAAAAAAAACATACTTTTGTATCTTTATTTTGGAATTTCTTGTTCTATTATAAATATTGAAGTATCCCTATTTCAGAAGACATATTTTGTTAATTGATTGTACATATTTAAATATGTATTTTTGCACAGGTCTTTTTTTCTTATATCCAGTTTTGGTACAATTGAGATCATCTAGTATTTATTTATTAATTAATTAAAAAAAAGAAAAAGCAAATACCTTTTTATAATTTGAAGTGGTTCACTGCCAAGCCAATAGTTAACATGCCTACTTTGCAACGTAAGGGATGCCTCCGTTTTGTGAAAGCCGTGTCCCTTTTCCTGTCTTGGGAGTGGATCCACGCAAAGGATCGCCCGGGTCCTGCGGTCGGGTCCTGCCCCGGGAGCCCCGAGCGCAGGATCGGAGCTGGAATGGTCGATATGGCATTGCTTATCAGTTGCCTGATTCCCAGAAGATCCATTTAGTTAAGTGACACACTGCTTCTCTCTTTTTTTTTTGTTTTTTTTTTTTTTTTAGTGTTCGTGTGCGTGTGTGTGCGTGCGCATCTGTGTGGGTCTCATGTGGTTTAAAACTAACGGAAAAACTGAAAGTGCCTGATATAACTAGTTTTAAGCTTGGACTGTTTAGACAGCTTCTCCTTAAAAGACTTGAATGTTCAGTTGAAATTTTGGAGCTTGCTTTTTCCACCTATATATATGTGTGTGTATATGTATGTATGTGTGCATGTGTATATATATATACACATACATATATATATATAGATATTTCTGAAATTAATGAGATGGGTTGACAAAAGAAAGCAAATGATGCTGGTGACTTTTGTAAAATCTTTTAATTCGAATACCTTGTGTTGGAACAATCCCATTGGTAACTGATATTTAGTATATTGCCAAGAGTATGAAATGTGGTTTTAACCTGCAGTTTATTAAACTGTCTCATTTTGGGAAGGGGGGGAGCGGTATACATTAATTAAATAATTCAGAAAATTTCCAAAATTATTGCTATTCCCAAACAAACAAAAAAACCCAAGTAAGTACCTCTTAAAACCACGAAAAAAATAAAGATGTGATTTCCAAATGGCATTTCTAAGGCAGTTGTCTTCCTGTAAGAGTTCTCTTGCCAAGGAATCTCTCTCTTGTCTTTTACTCATTCTGTCCTGGAGGAGGGAATTGGGCTTAGAAAGATTCTTAAATGTTTCACTGTTCAGCAGAAAATAATCATTTTTACCTTTTGTGCGAGATATTCTACGTTTTAAAGATAATTTTGAAATGAGCACTACATAATGTCAATGTGAATGTAGGCCTTGGAAGCATCTTGCTCGGTGTTGAGCCTGGTTCTAAAAGCAATCTCCTGTGTAAAATGTGTGAATAGTTTGATAATTTGTATACATAATCAAGAGCATCTGATCAGCTGAACTCTGTGTTGGCTGCTGTATAGTACATGAACAAATGTCATGGGATAGAAAAATTACTTTGGATATTTAAAAGAAAAATAAATATATAGTCTATTTGTTTTGTAACAAGTTTCTGTAAATAAAATAATTTATACTATTTATAAGAAAAAGTTGTGCTTTGCTTCATGAAAAAGATTAGTTTGTTGAACAAACATGTTACTAAACAAGGCAATAAAATTAGGACTTTTCAATAAATGAGGTTGGTTGCATGGAATACATTATATGTTTCTGCTTCATTATAAAATCCTTCACTATTAAAGGAAAACATTATCTGTATTGGTGCCTATGTGAACTAATTTCAGAGAATTGGGCGTGATCAAATTCTGTCACTGTGCCTCGGCATCGCGGGTCAGCCCGGTAGGATCAGAGCTTTCCACCCTACAAGGGTTTGGTACCTGGTTTTGAGCGGTGCCTGGATCAGCTCTGCAGCATTTTCCTGTGCAAAGGACCTTCTGTTACTGAAGATTCACACTTTATATTATTTTCTAATCAGAGTCATGAAAGCAGCTGTCACAGCTCCAGATGCAGTATGTTGAATCATCATGTTTCCTGGTTTTTTTTTTCATTCCTAAAAAGTAGCTTCCATGTTTTCACAGTTTGTAGATCAAGTGTGTGAACTGAGCAGGTTAAGTACTCTTACAAAGCTTTTCTCTGCATGTGACTCAGGACTCGATGTTGTGGACAACTTCTGAGGAGCAGTTTGTAAAAATCCTGTTAGTAGGACAGGACTTTAGAGTAACATCTGTGGCAATGATTCGTTTATTCTGTCTTTTTATTTTTTTTCCCTCTTATAACAAGTTTTCCTTAATATTTGGAATAAATGCTACAAGATGCAAAAGAGGTGCAGACAGCAAGCAAGTTCTGCTTTGTCTTTTTACAATAAGTACTCCTAATAGTTCTACATTTACCTTTTGTGTTGACTGAAGATTTTTTCTTTCCTTTTTTTTTTCTGGCCTTCCTGCAAATATTTTTTCCCTCCTAATAGCAGTTTCTACCATCTGTGCCATCCCATGTAAGCTGTTGGCACTGAAGCTGGTTGTGCTGAGCTGTACAAGTGACCACAGCACGGAGCGCACGGAGTCGGGTGTTTGTGCAGCAGAACAACTCTGAACTCTCGGCGTTCAGGCAAGTTCATGACTCTGAGTCTGCTTCAAACTGAAGGAATAACTCTGCATTTAACTGCATTTAATATGGGTTTAGATGTCCCCTAAAACTGGCAAGGTGAAGAGGAAAAAGAGTGCATTTGTCTCATGTAACCCCCAAGCTCTCGAAGGTAACTCAGCTCTGTGGATTTGCAGCATCCTCCCTCTCCCCTTCCTTTGCTGCGTTTGGTGCAGTGCAGTGTCAGGGAGCTCTGACCCTGGGCAGAGCAGAGCTGCTCTGGGGGTTATTGCTTTTCACAGTGACTGCAGGTTCAGTAAAGGGGTTTGTGATGAAAAATGCTTTCTGACTGGGTGCTGGCCTGGAACCTGGTAAGCACAGACATCTCTGAACTGGGTGGAAAGCAGTTTCCTCCCATCAGTGATTGTCTTACCGGAAAATACTTGAGTTTATATTTGGGAAGAATTATTTGCCGATGTAGGAGGCTGACAGTGCATGCAATGAAATCCCAGTGTCAGAGGTTCTCTGTGGGGGTGTGTTGTGCATCTTGTCGATGCGCTTTGCATTTAACATCAAAGCTGGTGATGTGTCCTGGGAAGCTGAAGGTGTCTGTTGGGCTCAAAGGCTACAACCTGCCTCTGGCAGAAACTCGTGTGAGGCCTGGTCCTGCCCCAGCAGCTCTGGATGCAGGGTGGGTGTGAAGTTGGCCTGGTGCCCTCCCTGCACACGGCAAACAGCCCTGGCACCCGCTGCCTTTGGAGGCCGGAGCGCTCCGTGGGCGCCGCTGTTTGTGCCATTACCAAAACAGCCAACACGAGGCCTTGCCATTGGCTTTATTTAAATGCAAATTCCTGTTGGTTCATTATTATCACGTTCTGCTGCAACACATAATCAAACACACGTGGCTTGTAGGATCCGCCATGGGACTTTTTAATTTGACTGGATGTTTTCCTCAGTGCTTTGGCTCAGAGCTGTGTTAGCTGCTGGATTTGTTCCTAACAAGCAGCATGGGAGCTTTGTCATGGAAAAGGGGCATATGCTTGGGTCTTTTTCTGACCCAACAAACTTCAGGGAATCTCAAAAACCTTAAGGGAAGTTGTTCAAGCTAAGCTGGATTCAGACTTTATTGAAAAGGAGAAAAACTGGCCTGGGAAGTGCAGTCAGAAAGCTTTGTCCAAGCCCAGGAGAAATGGTTGGTATCTCTGGCGAAATTGGTACAGAAGTTTTCTTCAGCATCAGTAGGGACAGTGTGTTGTTGCTTGGGTTCGGTGTTCTCTCACAGTGCTGTAAGTTTTTTGTCCTCCATTTTGCTGTTGAGCTACCTTTACCAGAGTCCATTCCCATCCATGAGAGGTGACTTTTTGCTAAAGCAAGTGCCTTGTCTCTTGCCTGCAAGGTTGGACCTTGAGCTCTGGAGCCCAGTGTTCAGGGAGAGAAGCAACCGAGGTGGTGGCAGGTCAGCAGAGACAGGTGAGCCAGAGAACCTTTGTTCACAAACTGGATTTCAACCACTTAGTAGCAGAGCTTTGCTAACAAACCCTACAACACCCCATCTCCTGCCCTTCCCGCCTGCATTCCCACCCATTACCGGCAGGGAATGCACTGCAGAGTGAGGTGGAAGCATCTCAGTGTTGTGGCTGTGGCTTGAAATCTGTGTCTGGTTTTGGCTACTTTGTAGCAAGGGTGAAGTCAGCCTTGCAAAGCGAAATTGGAGAATGGCATTAGCTCAAGGAACTGCACAAGCTTAAATTACAAGAGAGAATGTACAACTTTGGCATGTGGACTATAAATCCACGGAAAGGTGTCAAGAACGAGGCACGAACGGCTGTGTCTGGAGTGCTGCTCACAATCAGAGTTAAATAAAGGGAAATCATAAGATCAGATAAACCAAAGGTAAAACTAATACAACCATGGGACAGTAAAAAGTAACTTGAAATTACTTCAGGGCTTAAAGGAAGCAGAAGTTCTAATGCTTCTGATTTGACAGGGAAATGGAAGTAGGAAGTTAAAAACAACAGAACAGACATAATTATGCCCTTGATCAGTTCAAGGCCTGACCACCCTGGACCCCTCAGCATTCCTACTCTTTGGACAAACTGTGTATCAGATGCTTTTTCTTTTTTTCAGGAGAGCAAACAGCTGCTTGGCTAAGCTTTGTACCTCCAGCTGTGAGCTTTAGGAGGTGTTGCCTTTCCCTCCAATTGTCCAGAATTTTATTCCACCACTATTTGGAATGGCTGAAAGCCTGACCTGCTGCACAAAGCCTTCATATTGCTCAGGTAAAATTGCTGTGATTCTTTGCTGCCAGGCTTTGGCCCAAAAAGGTTTGGCAAGAAGCTCTGTGGGTTCTCCCTCGATCCTCCTTCGCAGGATGCAGGCTGAGATCAGGAAATGAGCAAGGCAAGTTGGGATCTTTAAATGGGGTCTTTGCTCTGGTAGGATTGTGCACTTCTGTTTGGAACACTGAGCAGAGAACACCAGATTCTGAAATGCTTGGCTCCAACACGATGATAATGATGGTTGATAGGATAAGGATAAAATGGTTGATAGCTCTCCAAATATGTTAGAGCACACTAAGACTCTTTAGTAATACTTTTATTTTCCTCACAGAGTAGGCATTTCTGTTTTCTGTTGCTCTTACCTACACTAAGAGAGCAGCAAGATTTCTCTGGAATGCATGAAGCCCCTGTTAGCCTAGTTTTTTTGAGTAGGTTTCTATTCAACTTACAGTTAAAAAGATACAGGATAGTTCATAAACTCAATGGAAGCTTTGATATAGTTAGTTAAGTTATTTAAGGCCAATTCAAGTATAAACATGCTGGAAAGGAAAATTTATCTGTGCACCAGAAATGAAATCCCTCAATTCAGTGAAGACATTCAGACAGTATGGTCTTCTGATAGGCTTGACATCTGCACATATGGAAGGTGGAAAAGATGTTCCCAAAAGTCAGCCTGATTAAAGGCTCCCTAGCTGGCTCTACTTATCTGTTATGGAAAAACAAGAGACATTACTGCAGCTTTGAAAAGTCTGAATACTGGGTTATATCAATTAAAACTTTACAGGAAGTGGTATGTGTGTGAACACACAAAACAGATTCATTAGCTGACCACCTGGTGAATTCTAGAGTTCTCATTTATTACTCTCACTATTCTGAAGAAAGAATTTTCTTCTATTTGTTACTGTTTGAAACTTAAACCTTTAAACCCTAGCTAAGTATCTGCTTCTTGGATGGGGAACAACCAAAACAGCTTCCAGTAAGTAGTAAAAGAAAACCAAAAATTATGAGGTCATATTTTGGGTTTCAGAACAGTTCATCAGAGAACAGTAACAGCCCCTCAGCACTGAGGGGTCCAACCTCGAGCAGGTGGCAGCAATTCAAACACAGGAGACAAGTGGGCAGGGGAAATTTCACTGTCCTGTCTGTGGCACAGCAGCTTCCAAATGTTGGGACTCTTCTTTGTGTGCATCTACCTGTTGGGGTTACTTCAGGCACTGGAGTTGCAGTGAATACCGGCAGTAAATGGGTTCTGTTGCCAAGTGCAGCAGCATCAAACAGCTCACAGAGCTCAGTCACAGACTGTCTTTGGGAGGAGGGGAAAAAACCCTCCAGGCAGGCCAGCAGGGTAAACAGCTGCTGCCGTAGGCCAGAAACCATGTGTCATCAGCCTGGCAGCAGCCTATGTGAGACATTCATTCCTCAGCAGCTGTGAAGGAAGAAATCGTAACCCCTGCAGTACTCGATCAGTTGTGTCACACTGCAGTGGTCTCTTCCACAGCTCCTGCCATCCCTCTGACCTCTGCAAATCTAACCCAGGCAGGAATCACAAATGCAATGCTTTGCTCACGTGCTGACTTCCTGTAGTTTTTAAGGGAGAGGCTACTTCAGTTAAAGATGTTCCCAAAGTTTTAGTCCATACAGTTTCTGTGGTTATATTCTTTCTTCACCCCAACCATTTGTATCCTTATTACTTCTCCCTTAAACTGTAACCCCCTTATTGAAAGAGTCTGTCCAGTCTGGACAGTCCACAATCCTCACTAAAATTTTTGGGTACTTTACTATAATGCAACTCATTCTTTTCACCTCTGATTCCAATACAAAAGCCTTAAAAAAGCAAGGATAGAACGGCCATGAGTTCTGTCTGTTCACAGGTCGTGACCCTGCTTTGCTATTCAATATTGAACTCTGTATACACAGGCAAGGAAAGGAACAAAGTATATTACAAGAGATCACCAATGGTATAATACATTTAATAAATGAACTGGGTTCCGTACACCCGAACAGAACAGTGTGTACATAATGAAGTGGAAAGTAAAAACACTACCTCTCCTGCTAGTTATTTTTTTCCCTACAGTATACCAAGTTATACAATATATTTATAGGTTACTTCCAAAATGTTTTAAACATCTAAATCTTGCATTCCCTTGCATTAAAAAAATTACATATTAATTACTCTGGAAAGTTTCTGAATTCTGTTTAGCAGCAAATCTCCTTTCTTGATGGTTTCTTGGTACTGCCAATTCTTGCTATCGGGCCTAGGAATTGTGGGGGGGAGGAAAAAAGGGGTTAGAAGATTATATTTTATACCAAGGCACAAAACATTTCTGTAGTAAATGTCATCAAAAGGTATAAATTGAACTGGGCTGTCAAAACCAGGAATTGTTACATACCTGTTAGTTTCTACAATCTCATTTACTTTGTCTATTTTGCAGTGCAATCGCCCAGCTGCAATAAATCTTGAAAGCTCCCTAAATAAAGAAAAAAAGTTGGTTAGATCATGTTTCACCAAGTGCTTGTAGACCTAATAGCACTGAAACTGCTGCTACAACACAGCAGTGTCACCACACTGTATTTCTGAAGCAGCAGCCTGTGTATTTTCATAAGGTATCTTATCTTATGCATCCTTATCTTATTAAAGCTCAGACATTGCACCCAAGAATAATCATTCTAATGATCTGAACACAAAAGCTCTTAGTACTTTCTTCAAAGGCCCAAGTGTTGTACTTGATTTAGTGAAACTTTTCACTCAGCTTAGCATCAACTACCCTTCAAATCCAAAGGCAGCAGTCGTGCAGTGCACCTGATTTATCCTGGGGTAAGTATCTTCATGTCAGTCAATTAATTAGAAAAGTCTCTAAACAGTTTTAAATTCTTTTTTTAATGCTTATTTTATTATTATTTTGCTTTATCAACTGGTGCTTTGTAGCACTGATGGTAGACGAAAATATTCCTGAGCTCAACAGTTAAGACAAGTTACAACTTGTAATAAATTACTGGGATGCATAAGAATTAGTATGACTAAAGCATTTACCTTTGAATTGAATGGGCATTTGATTTCTCTTGAAACACTTAATAATTTTAGATTATTTCAAGCAGTTTCATATTTCTGTAAGTTTTCTATATTAGAAAAATCTGAAGACCACTCTGAAACAAGAATGACTCTTGTGAAGGTATTTACATGCTTCATCTATATAAAGTAAAAGTCAATTACTCACTTCACTCACCACTTACCATGATCTAAATCTGTTGTTTTTATACTAGAAAAGATTTACAAATTTAGACTGCAGGGTATAATTTAAGTGAAAAACATCGGATCCTGTCCATGTACCAGAAAGCAAGCAAAACCAGAGAGAGAGAGACTGGCAGGGTACATCAAATGTGCAGATCCCCAAAGCTGTAACAGCTCAGTTTTTGCACAGCTGTGAACTAAGCCATCCTCTAAAATTTAAAGTTTCACAGCAAACAGAGGTCAATAAACATAGCAGTATAAGAACAAATTAATTAATAAAATACTAGTTTCTCATGCTCTTCCAAAGACACATAAATTGGCATGTTTAAAATCAAAGTAGGACAAAAATCTTTATTCATAATGAGATCATCATAAATATTTAAAATGTATAAAGTGAGATCTTTATGAACTTAAAAATCCAACGAACTTACTGATCTATGAATTCTACACTGACTCCAAAGGCTTCTGCCATGTATCCTAACGTCAATGACCGGTAAGACTCCAGGAGCTGGCTGTACGCGTGGATTCTCATTTCCCGCACATAGTATCGATAGTGAGGTGCAAACAGCCAGTCTTTCTTCATCTCTTGCTCTACAATAGCTGGAAAGAAAAAAAGAATAATAAAAAATAAAAGAGTCAGTAGTCTCTGAGAAATGCAAAATATCAATAGTTATGTCAATAAAACACATGGCACCAGTTAATAAGTAATGGGTGTGACCGTAGCTATATTGTATTCTTGCATTCCTCAAGATATGAAAGGGATTCTACACTAAAGTAAATTTGTGTAGTTCTGGAACCAGGTGCAGTAATAACATGCAAATAAGATTGTGGCAGAGCTAATGAGAGCCTGTTAATCAGCACAGAATCCTCCTGTCAGGGATGAGGGGGATCACTCGCTGAAAGGAGGAGCTGAATCTGCCATCTCGCAGGAGCTGTGCGGTGCTGGGAAAGGAGAAGAACTTGGTATGTAACTACTTAAAGAAACGTTCTTACCCAAAGTTATTTAAGGAAATAACATTAACTTTCTGCTACTAGCTCTTAAATTAACTACAAGGATTTCCAGGCAATGAAGTGATTTTTTTTCCCTGACAGTTTCAGTTCCCAGCTAGGGATAAGGCCAGCAATAGGAAAATGCTGTCCTTTAACTCAGTCTCATCGGGCCTAGTCTTGCACAAAATGAAGAGTTCTTTCTAAATATCTTATTTCCTTGTGGTCTAAATCTCACAGAAGGAAAGCAAGCAGTCTCAGAACTGGCAAGGATGAGTTTTCTGAAAAGCGTTTCTTTGATGTCACCTTTCTAAACAGAAAACAGATCAGAAAGCAAGTAGGAACACACTGAAAACTTTCTGTGTAATATCTTGTACACGTTGAGATTTCTGGGCCTTCAGACTGCAACTTCCATAGCTTCTTGGGAAGACAAAACCTTTCAAAACTTTCCTGACCTGGCTCTTCAGGTAAGACACTGTTTCACAGCTATTTTCAAAATGCTCTTCCACCTAATCATATGTGACCTTTCACAAAGCTCACTGGATGTGAAATTTTTCTTTGTTTGTTTGAAAAATCAAAGCAGGAAATTTTAGGTCACTGTTAAAAAAAATCTCTAGTTTGTTTTTTTCTGCATGTAGCTCTAGTTCTAGACTGGGGGTACTCCACTGAAGTTGTGTGTGATCTGAAACAAATAACTGCAACACCTGAAATAGTGTTGTAGGACAAAGCCCAGCCTTACCTAGTGACTGGAAGAAGGCTGCGTAACGGCATTCGTAAAGGGAGAAGAGATATTGTCGTACAGCGGGCAAACTGTGCAAGGCTTCCAGGATCTCTGCTCCTTTAATAACCTGAAAGCAAACGGACACGTTTAACCACCACTTTCAGCCTGGAGATGGACAGGTTAAGGAAAGGCTGTGTCGGTTTGCACCAGCGTTTCCACCTGCTTTCCTTACCTTCTCCCGAAGGTCAGGCCTGTCCAAGGCAATCATGCTGACATAGACAGTGTATGTTACAAACGTTTTGTAATCCATCAGTTCATAGGATGTGAACGTCGAAACTGTGTCAAGGAACAGCTCTGCTGCTTGTTTGAAGTCTCGAATTGCTACACAGTAAAGGCCCTGGTAAACCTTGAGGCGGTTTCTCCTGTCCCAGTCTCCTCCTTCTTCTATTAGACTTAAAATAGAACAAAGAATATTTACTTATGTAAATGTGTCATGTCGTAAGTTATACGAAACAAGTATGAATCAACTGATACCATGACATTAGAGACAGAATAACTTGGCTTATGTTACAGTTGAAACAGCCCAGGCTCTGTACACCTGTTGGGTAGGAAAGTGGGTTTCTTAGTACAGAAGAGGCCAGATACTTTTGCACAGTGCAAGTTTAAGCTGAAAGGAAAAGTTTACAGCCTCTTCATCAGTGACAACAGGCTCTGTGAATGTGCAGGTAAATACTACTGTCAGCCTCAGCTGTGGTAACAATTTTGCACTGCCTCTGCTGCAAAAAACAAAGCTGTCCAACTGCAGCATAGAAAAAATGTTACAAGTTGCCATTTTTTAAGATTCGTATTAACACAAAATTGGGGTGGCTATAAGTAAGAGAGGAGCACAGGCTGAGTCACACTTTAAGCGGAAGCAGGGGGTGGGCTACAAATACAAATGAAGCCAGTATGCTAGAAAACAGCTGCCACAAAATATTAACCTTGCTTTTCTCTTCCCCCTCACAGAAAACTCCGGGAATAGGAAGTAGAAGGTAACTCCCACCCATCACTGTGAATCTGCCTCCCAACCAGTCCCAGTCATTTCTGGACAGAAAGGTATTTATCTTCCATTTCTTTTGTTACAGCTTGTTCCAAGAGTGCTTTAGTGCACTCAGACAACCCCAGCAGTACCTTTTTGCCTTTTCAATGTTCCGTGTGATGAGGTCGTTATCCATATAAAACAAGCCAATCCTTAGGAGATAGAACACGATATCCAGACGATGCCCCAGTGCCACAGTTTTGTCGTAAGTCTTGCGGAATGCAGTCAGAGCTCCCTCCTAGCAAAAGAGTGTTTTCTACCATAAGAATGTTAAAAGCCCCTAAAACATTTACAAAATGTCTTTGGTAAGAACACATACTGTCTCCTGCTGGTAGTCGTGACTCTGTCAAGTTTCCCATAGCTTTCACTTTATGGATTCTGAATAATCTTAAAGAATCAAAACTTAAATCACATTAAAAGAGCTGATCCTTGTGTATCTTTTAAAGCTAAGGACTATGAAAATCTACTCTGTAACTTGAAATTAGGCTGCACGATGTGAACAGCTTAGAAAAGTTTAAAGGCACAAGGAAAGTGAAAAATTATATCTGCCAATGGAAAATAACTTTTTCCCTTGTCAAGAAAAACAATGTTTTCTTTCAAGGGCTGAGGTTTCTTCCCAGATCATTTAAATTTCTGTAACACCCTCCCCTATCTGCCATCCACGTCTGAGCTGTGCCAGTAAAAAAGACACTGCAAGTCCCCCAGTGCTCACTGGGACCTGCCCAGCTAAGAGGGTTACCATGCAGCATGTTATATGAGTTCATAAGGCCTGTGCTGTCACCAACCTTGTCCCCAATCCTGCACAGGTACTCAGCTTTGGCCATCATTGCATCCCGGATTTCGCTTTCCCCCAAGATCTTCTCCGCATCCTCTAACTCATTGTCGAGACGTTTGAGCTCCTCCTCGTTGGCTTTCTTCATTTTGTTCAGCAGATCCGTGTCCATCTGCCACTCCAGGGACTTGCACAGCGCTTCGTAGTATGGAGCCATGTCTGAAAGAGAAGCAGGAAGGGCTCTGCTGTTAATTGCTGCAGCGACTGTGTGCATGTTTCCATAAGGACACCAGCGACACCCTCCCTGTGAGCAGGTATCTGTTAAATACAGACGTGGCACAGACAGTGTTTCTGCAGCCTCTGCCCCTCACACTTCCTTTTGCTGACCCTTTTCCATCACTGCTCTTTACACCTCCCCCATTTGCACTCTTTCCCTGCTCTGGGCTGGGGTGACCTCACCTCGGGTCCTGGGGGCAGTTTTAAGCACCACAATGCAAGGATATTAAGCTGTTAGAGACTGTGAAAAGGAGAGACACAAAGCTGATGAAGGGCCTTGAAGGGAAGCTGTATGAGGAGCGGCTGAGGTCACTTGGTCTGTTCAGCCTGGAGAAGACCAGACTGAGGGGAGACCTCAAAGCTGTCTGAAACTTCCTCATGAGGGGAGAAGAAGGGGCAAGCACTGATCTCTTCTCTGTGGTGACCAGTGACAGGCCCTGAGGGAATGGCATGGAGCTGTGTCAGGAGAGGTTTAGGTTGGATATTAGAAGAAGGTTCTTCAGTTAGGGGGGGTCGGGCACTGAACAGGCTCCCCAGGGCAGTGGTCACAACCCAAAGCCTGGCAGAGCTCAGGGAGCGCTCGGACAACACTCTCAGGCACAGGGTGGGATTGCTGGGGCTGTGCTGTGCAGGGCCAGGAGCTGGGACTTCAGTGATCCTTGTGGGTGCCTTCCAGCTCACGATACCCCACGGTTCTATGTAACCCACTGCGAGCACAGCAGACCCCGGCGCTCAACTCGGGACTCTCACGATACCAGCATGACACAAGAGCCGTCAAACCCTCCCTGCCCAAACCTCAGCCCCCTGCTCTGGGGCTGCCCACGCTCAGGGACGACAGTCCCGGGGGCAGGGGCGATGTGCACACCCGCAAACACACAGCCCCACGCACCCACCGCCACCCGCACACATCCTCGGCGTGGCGAACAGACACAGACACACCGCCTCACGACAGACAGACAGACAGTCGGGCCCGGACGGACGGACAGACAGACAGCCCCGGCCCACACTCCCCGTGCAGGGACAGCCCCCCCGAGCCGCCTCAGGCCCACACTCCCCGTGCAGGGACAGCCCCCCCGAGCACCCTCAGGCCCACACTCACTGTGCAGGGACAGCCCCCAGGCCCTCAGGCCCACACTCATTGGGACAGCCCCGACCTCAGGCCCACACTCTGCAGGCAGCCCACACTCACTGTGCAGCCGCACCGCCGCCATCAGCTCGTCGCGCGCGGCGGGGTCGGGCGCGCGGGGCCGCAGGCTGAGCAGGAAGCGGAGCTGGGCGATGCGGAGGTCGGGGTTCTTGGGCAGCCCCTCCTCCTCCAGGTTCTCCAGCGGCATCGCGGCGGCGGGACCGGGGACGCGGGACGCGGGACACGGGACGCGGGACACGGGCCGGGGCCGGTCGGGGCTCGGGGCCGGGCGGGCGGCGCGCGCAGTGACTCAGCCGCGACCGGCGGAAGCGGCCGGGAGGTTCCGCCGCGCGGCGCCCCCTGCCGGCCCGGAGGACCCGCGCGGGGGAGGCGGCGGGAGCGCCGGGAGGGGGCGCTGGGGAACAGCGGGGCCCCTCAGGAACGGGGGCGGGAAACACACGGGGAGTCACGGAAACACGGTCACAGAGCCACAGAAACAGTCACAAAATCACAAAATCACGGAATCAGAGACACAAAATCACAGAGTCACACCATCCCAGGACGGATGGGTCAGGGTGAAGGGGGCCACAGCGGGCCATCTGCTCCACCCTCCCTGCTCGAGCAGGGCCATCCCAAAGCATGCGATTTGAGGGACCGGGGGCACCCTCAGTAAATTTGCAGGTGACACCAAGCTGAGCGGTGTGGTGGCACACCCGAAGGACGGGGCCGTCCAGAGGGACCTGGACAGGCTCAAGAAGAGAGCGCGTGGGAATCTCATGCAGTTTAACAAGACTAAGCGCAAGGTGCTGCGCCTGGGTTGAGGCAAGCCCTGGTATCAGTACAGGCTGGGGGATGAAGGATCAAGAACAGCCCTGCTGAGAAGGACTTGAGTGGTGGGGGATGAGAGGCTGGACATACTCTGGCCGTGTTTACTGACGGCCCATAAACCAAATGTGTCTTTTCTTATCTCTCACAGGAAACTTTGCTGGTCCAGGGGCTGGAGCGCATTCCTGGCAGTGCCCCCTCCCTTGGAGTGGAGATGGTGGTGGGTGGGTGGCAGCGGGGTTGGGGGATTCCCATGTGTCACTCCACCCCATCAGCCCCTGTCCTGCCCTGCTGTCCCTCCCCACTGGGGACTGCCCACCAATTGTCCATGCCAAGTTTTACGGATGGCACATTTGGGCGCAGCACTGTATTTGTGTCTTCATGAGTCCCTGTGTGTGGAGCTGTTGAGGTTCATCCCCATGCGATACCCTAAGTCAAGCTCTTTTTTTGTCTTTTAGAACACTCTGAGTATCAGCCGCTGTTTTCCCCTGGAAGTTTGCAGGAAAATAAAAACACGGTGCTTTTGGAGTGTAACACGGCTGGGTGGTGGGGCAGGCACGGGGTGCTTGGCTTCTACAAAGGGCATTTTTGGGTCCCCAGGGCTATGCTGTGGGATGCAGGATCCCATGCAGTGCAGGCTGGACCACGCTTGTTTCACAGCCGAGCTCCTCTAGGCACGTTTTGGTTTTATTTGTTGGAATTTTGGTTTAAATGCAATTCTTTTGGCTGGTGCCTCTGTTTTGGAGCTGTGTTTTGCATCTGGATGATGAGAGAAACTGTTCCCTCGACTGTTTTGGCATTGTATGTTCCTAAGATTGCTTCTGTATCTTGGGTGTGAATTATTTAGAAGTTTACTGGAAGGAACAGTTGCCTGCTGTGTTTTTGATAAGTGTCAGTATTTTTTGCATTGATTCTGATTTTTTTTCCCTTCATTTAAGTCATTGGCTTCTAGTTCTAGTCATCTAGAATAAAATACAGGAGAAACTGAGTTGGGCAGCTCCTTTGTTTTTTTAGGATCAGTTTTTTCCTTTGTCTTCTTTTTTTTTTTTTTGACTTGAAATCACTTTTGCATTGATTGTGCAACGAGGAATGGCTTTGATGCTTTGCAGAGAACTGCACGTAGGTCTTTTGTAGCAGTGTTTATGTTATTTGCCTGTTGGCCTTTGCATTTGCTCAGAGACCTATTAATTGGTTTTATTTATGACAGACACTTTTAGGCCTCTTGCATATTTTTCTTTTGAGTCTTGTCCCCAGCTCTATTCCTTGGGCAGTGTGCTCCGGAGCTGCGGAATGCTGTTTACTCTTTGCATGCCTTGTTTGGGAAGAAAGGGTTGGTTGGGTTTTTTTCCTGCTAAGTAAGGCTGATGTTCCAAACGCTCAGGCACTGCACACATGGGTGAGTGTTACTTGTGTGAGCGGCTGAGATGGGATTAGCTCACAAAAATTGGAAAAAAAAAAAAAACTGAAACAGCTTTGATGTCCAGTTATTGCAGCTGGTCCCTCCAGCACTGGGTGAAAGGTGGAAAGTATGTGCAGTTCCCTTGTAAGCAGATAACCTGGCTGACACTGCAGCTCTTTCCCTAATCCCTAATAAATACTGGTTTGCAGCCACAGCTGGAGGTCTGCCCTCTTCCAAAATTTGCATCTTTCACAGCCATTATATCTCTGGCCATTCTTACTGTCCGTAGAAACACCCACACCCTGTCAACACCACTGGGTTTTGGCATCCTCAGCTCATTGTGGCAGTAAAAGCCACAGATTCATTATGTACTGTGGGAGAAAAAAAATACTTCATCCTCCCATTTCTGGATTTGCCACTTTTTAATTGGCCCCAAAAGAAGTTGCTAGGTGTGACAAGAGTAAGGGAGCTGAGTTTTAATTTTCTTCGGTTTAGTTATTGCTGAAATCTTGTGTTTTGGTTTGTAACCATATGAAACACTAGTTAATTAACCCACTCCCCCAGCATTTATTGTCTGTAAATATTTGCCCACATTTTCATATTTATGTATATTGCAGCAATAACAGGGAGAAAAGGATCCAGCTACACGCACGTTCACAGCTCAACATGAAAGAGAATTCAGAGAGAATATTTATATCTCAAATATTTATATGAAGAATAAGGCCTTATGGTGACCATAATTCTCATGTGATCTTACAGCATTAAAAAGGATCCCAGTAATAATTAAAAAAAAAAAAAAATCCCCAAAATGGACCTCAAATGATTGTTTCCTTCCCTGCAAGATGCATCAGTGCTGCAAGGAGCCCTGTGGTGGCTCTCAGTAACTCTAATGATGCTCTTTCTTGAAGAGTGACTGTATGGATGTCCTGCAGGTTGTTTACATGGCATAATACACACTTGTTATCCAGCTGGAAGTAGGAGCCAGCCCCTTTTTGCAGCTGGCAGGGGCTCCTCAGAGCTTCCCTAAGGCTCTGCACCCGCAGAGCACAAATCCTGTCTGCCTTCCTGCTCACACCAGCCCTAGGGGTGGCTCTGGTGGCAGTCAGGGCAACCAAGGAGGTCTCCTCTGACAGATGGTGATTTTGGAGCAGGACAGGTTTGACAGCCCCTTTAGCTGTGCGGTCAGGCTTAAAAACAGCAAAATACGGTGGTATTTGCTTCTGACAGGCCAGTAGCCCGTCGTGCAGCTGATGCCTGCACTCCTCTCACAGGAAGTGGAGGTCTGCCAGCCCCTCGTTAAACCAGGGAGTATTGTAGCTCTCTGAGAGGGACAGACACATTGATTTTCCTCCCCGTGGCAGAGGTGTTCCTGTGCCAGGGCATTGTGGAGGACGGTGCAGACCCTACGCTTCCCTGGTGCTGCTCATGCACACGGAGAAGTTCGTTTGCAGGTTCCTTGCAGTTCTTGGATGGACATATCTTGTGTGGTCAGTGCCCTGGACAATCACAGGTGACCATGGGCACCCCATGTAAAGCCACCCTCCTCATTACCATTTTTGCAGCCATGGAAGGCCACAAACAGGGCTGGAAGTGCAAATATGTATTTCCAGACCTCCTCCTTCCCCAGAAACAGCGGTTACTCAGTGCTACCCAGGGCAAGGTGGCTTTCCATGTGCCTGTGTGAGGTTGCTCTGGTTCTGTCCTGGTCCTTGGAGCCGTGCCCAGGTCACCCCAATGTCCAGCAGGACAGTCAGCTGCAGCGTGTCTGCCTGAGGCTGAGCTGCCACAAGGTGCCAGTGTTTCAGAGCAGTAACTGCGCTGCATCTCTACCTTCTGGGTGTTTGCCTTGCTGGGCTGTTTTTCCCCCTCAGTGTGCCAAGTGAAGCCCTGTTATCACTTAGCAAACCGAAAGTTTGGGGAACCTCCAGCCTTCTGCAGAGGCACAGCTGGGACAGACCACCAAAACCTGCCCTGTTCCCCTCCCCAGACACTGCCTGGTGTCCAGGCCCCTGTGTCCAGCCAGACACTGACTTGCTGTTGGCAGGTGTGTGTAACATACCTGTTTATGGCAGTGTTTTGCTTCTAAGTGCCATCAGTGGAGCCAGGGTCTGCATTGGTCACCTATCCCTCTGCTCGTCCAGCCCCACTGGGTGTGGGGGCTCCTCTCTCCCAGCCCACAAAGGGAAAAGCTCCCATCACCTCACGGTGTGTGGCACTTTCCAGCAGCAGGTCACAGAGTGCTCTGCTTTCTTCTCCAAGGAGGTCCTGGGGCCCTACTGGCTCTCCTGGGCTTCAGAAACAGGGACCACCCTGGCCTCTGCCAGCAATTCAGGACCTGCAGCAGGACCCAGGACTGCTTCTGAGTGACTTTAATTCCAGCCATGGAAGGTGTGGAGGGTCCTGGAGCTGTGTGGTCTGTCCGTGCTGTAACGAAGCGCTCTTTGTGCACAGCCATCACGCTGTGAGCTGCAGGCTCACCTCAGCAATACCAATTATGCTTCCATACCTTGCTGTCATCCTCAGGCACCTTCAAGGCTCATGTGTTTGTTTCATTTGCAGGGCTGGTTTAACTGAACTTGGGAAAAGATGGCACTTGAATCACGTCTGGCTTCATTCTTCATCCTTCAGTAGTGGAAGTGTTGACAGCAATACTCACAGCTGCACGGTATAAACCTACAGGTGTTAGGCATTGATTTCTTTCTAGAAGTTACCTGTTTTCATAGGTAATTATTGTTGGCATAGATGTAGCTGCTGTGTCTGGAAGTCTCTGAGAAATTACAATTGGTATCAGTAAGGAGTGAAAGGCACAGGGTCGAACGCTCTGCTAGTTCAGGTCAGTGAGCTGTCTGGTGTTAGACAAGCCCTGGCACCAGCATAAAGGCAGTTAGAAAATGTCCCTGCAGTGGGATTTCGGCATCTCTTGACCTCCCTGATGTTCTTTTGTCACCCTTTCCATATTGCTAATTGCATCTGATCAGCCAGGTATCTGTTTCACAGCAATTAGTGTCATTTATTTACCTGCATGTTTTCAAATCTATAAATCCTTGTTTTGAAGGGCAATGTTTCACCAAATTAAGCCTTTTAAGGCATTAGAGTCGGGATGTTCCAACAAACAGCCATGTTGGTTGTGT